CGAGTCATCTCTCCTGGACCATGACAGCCAGAGTACGCTCCTTGCCACAGCACCAGTCTCTCCTTTTGCACCTGACTCCTTTCGCTACATGTATTGTCTATGAAACGATCAGTATGAGATAAACATTTCTGCCGCCACAGACATGCAGACCTTGGCTGTTGTAACTTGTTTGTCTAGGAAGTGCGTTGGGTCATTGATTGGCTACGTTTCTAAATTTGTAAGCAGATCAATTGGTTTGTATTTATACCTTTGATACCCAAACCGGTTCGTGGACGAGTTGGTCTTGAATGGAGCATGTTCATGATTTGTTATATTAAGTAACGAACCGAACTGGTTTTACTCTGAGAGAGCTAAGGCTCCAAATGAGCTCCAACACTCTGGTTTGTTGTATTCAAACCCGTTGGTTCTTCGCAGCTCAGAAATTTGTTGAAAGCAAACCACACGAATCTTCGAACCTGTTTGTTAAAGAACCGGTTTGGTTCGTTCATGAACGGGAAGCCAGTAAAACCCCGAACCGAATGTGGTTCAGAACCCTGCTCAAGCCTAGTGCGAATACAAAAACCAGCTGAGTGTATATATTCCGAGAGTCTACAATGGAATGCAAAAGATACTGATGCCAAGAAGGCCTCATTCTGGACACAAGATTTTGCACTCTGAACAATCCGAACAGCGCTCATTTGCTTGCTGCTTTTTTTATATGAGCTGAGTTATATTTTGTGTTATATGCTTTTAAAGACTTTTCCTCTCTCCTCATCCCTCGTTGATGGCCTTGAAAGTGGTGCACCGATACATCCTACACTGAGGTCCTAGCGCAGAGTTGTTCGCATTGTCCTTGTGATTATATATTTTTGACTCCACAGTCCTGTCCCTCGTGTTGACGTTGGTATATCCCTTTCTTAGCTCCAGTTATGCTTTCTCATTCTGGTACACAAAGCAGAACTGGCTATCTGCAGCAATCAATTCTCACTTATAACGAATGAAAAATACTGCCTTTCAGGCCCAGTTTTCTTTGAAGTCTTTTCTTATTTGCCTCCGTTTTCCTCTCAATACTTTCCGTAACTCGTTGTCCCTTTTTCTTATGCACGATGACAAACACATTGTATCTCTTTCCACAACCATGATCTTAAACCATATCAGGGACATGTCCTACAACCAGCTTTCAGGCAGCATTTCTGATAGCATCGGTGCGCTTGGGCGACTGAATCACTTGTGAGCTACAGCACACTACAGTAACTGGTTTCTTCTTGAGTTGGCTCAGGGCAGCTTCCTTCGTTCAAAGCTGGCATCCCGTGTCAACCTTTATCTTGTTATAGCATGTTTCTTTACGAAGCTAGAAGGATGTTGCACCAGACCAATCAGGACAATTATATGGCTTGCCGTAGAACCATACTTCGTGACTTCAACATTTCACAAAAAAACAAACACTAAAAAAACGACCACCTGCCATGTATGCATTGTAGGCTATACACGAGGCTTGGGCGTAGGTCGGACTTGGCCCGTCATGACGCACAGCAGCAAACACATACAAGAAATAACTGCCTAAGTGAAAGCTTGACAATGTCAAAGTTTTTTTCTTTTCCTTTTTTAGCGTTTCTTGGTACTTTCACATATTCTTGGTTCAATTGCTGTTTCAATGCTATATTGTGCGCCTTTATTCATCCCTTGTTTTGCTTGCTCCTCTTCCAGATTCTTATTTTCTCAACTTTGCCTCTTTCATTGTCTCGCCTCCCCCTCTGTAAATGCCTTTCGCTCTCCTCTTTTCTGTTGTGAGCACTGTGCTGGCAATCTGCGGAGACTTTCCCCACACTGTTACGTGCCTTCTGTTATCACATCTGCGGAGACATTTACTCCTCTCTTTGACTGTTGTTGATTGCATTCCATCTTGTAACTGCAGAAGTCTGAGCAGCAACCAGTTCAATGGATCTATCTCTTTCATTTCCTCCCTGGCGGTGTTGAGTTATATGTAATGCCTTTCTTTCTGCTCGTTTGTCTCTTGCTTCTTGGACCATTCTGTTCAAGTAGCCAGAGTGTTCTCTCATTTACACATTCGTATTTTCTGTAATCCCGCCAAAAGAATGTTTGCCCTCGATCAGTTGTGGATCCCGTATTTGTGCTCTCCTCAGAGCGCTCAACAACAATCAGTTCAGTGGCTCGGTTCCTTTGGACATTCGCACTCGTCTCCTCCAATTAAAACTGCTGTGAGTATTTTACTTGACCTACCTCTAAATGCTTCCTCGTCCCACCATAAATGGGGTCTTCATTGCAGACAGGACCTAAGCAAAGACGGATTAGTGAATGAGAGACGAGTTGCATCGAGTGAAATGAAAGGCAGTAAGTGCCTGAAGTTGGGGCCAACAGTTTTCACAAAATGGCCCCAACAGAGGTAAGAATGCACATCATTTATGTTGTCAAGGAGGTTACGGGGAATATAATGCACGCTCGCGGGAAAAAACAAATTTCTGTTACAACAAACGAATACTGGATCATCTGGGATTCGAAACTGATATGTGATTGCCTGGTGATGCATTGAGCAGGTGCTATAATGCTGAGGTGTGACTCCACAATTGGTTTTAGAGAGACCCTTTGACTTATTCTGGTTTCTGCAAGAAAACAGCAAGGAAAGTCAAGGAAAGGAGGAAAACAGGAATGCAGAAGAGAATACAGAGAGGAGAAACGAAAGAGTGATGAGAGAATAGGAGGGGTGTCAAGTCCTCTCGTTTGCTCGCCTCATCCTTCTTCTGGATTCTCTTTATCCTCTCCTCACCATATTGCATTCCTTCCATTCTGATCATTACAGTTGGGCTCCAATAGCCCCGAAACGCCTTCCTATTTACACTGTGTTGTATTTATTTCCAACACCTCCCTTTCTCTCCCCTGTGCAGCGATCTGTCTTTTAATTACCTCACAGGCCCCCAAGTGGTACTCAATTCAACTGAATTGGATCTTTCCAGCAACTACTTGTCAGGCCTTCTGGCACCATCAGCCTGCGGTGCACAATATATAATTGGCAATTGCTTCACTCAGAAAAAGTGTTCCTACGAAGAGCAGCGGCCTGCAGCAGAGTGCACGGCGTTTTGTGGCGTCTCCAGTACTACGGGTGCTTGTGGTGGTCATGGCACGTGCTACCCAGATGGACCCAACTTGGTGCCGACGTGCATGTGTAGCGCAGGATTTGAGCGGGTTGGAAGAATCAACTGTCTTGCACAAGGTAATGGATAGCTGTAATATCTGTATTGCTGCCATTGGAATGACATGACACTCTTCTGGTGACTTGCGTTTTGCAATTCATTTGCTGATCTACATTTGTGTCCCTGGTTTCTCCACCACCTTCTACCTTGTGCTCTTCTGTTTATTCTTTGTACCTATTCAGGTTGGGATGCAATCCTCTCAACCAGCACACCTATTCTCCCCATATTCACCACTCTCACCAAAGGGACGCAGCAAGAGACAGTGGGGAAGTTCATGGCAAAGCCAGTGACCCTCTTTGCATACCCGGTTGCTTCAAGCCCAGGATGTGGCGTGGAGTTGGCATTCCGTGCCAACTTCACCTTCTACCTTATTCCGCAGAATGGCACTGTTGGCAACAACGGATTTGCATTTGTGATTGCTCAAAAGGTCAAGGTGGGAAATCCTAGTGGTGTTGGCTATGGTGGAGTGGGAGCTCGCAGTATTGCCATTGAATTCAACACAGTTGGGCAGCGCAAGCTGAATGACACCAGCCAGCGTGCCGGATTGAAGACGAAGGGCATCGATGCATTCTTGGACTCCAGAGTATCACCATTCACTCTGACCAATGGCGATCCATACACGGCATGGGTGGACTACGAACCTGGAAATCCTGGAACCATCAAGGTGTTCCTGGCGGATTCAAATGTGAAGCCAGAAGTGGCACTGCTGAAACGGGACCTCTCGCTCTGTGCGGTGCTGCAGCCTGGAGTGAAAGAGACAACATTTCTTTTTGGCTTCGTCGCATCCACCAGCTTGAAGCCCTTCCAGATGCATGTCATTCTCAAATCTGCTGTGCAAACGGGGCTTACGGCATGGAAGGCGGGGTGAAGGTGGTTGATGGCTGTCTGAAGGTGATTGTGGTAGTGGTGGCCCACGATTTGTTCAGGATTGAGAGACTAAGCTATTGATACGTAAGTTGTTGGGCTACTTCTTGGTGTTGGTGTACCACCTGCTCTCGTGTCCAGGTTAGGTGAAAGGTTAATGGTTGATAGGGAAAAATGGCTGCGTTGATCTTTCTATTGATCTTCCTGATACTCATGGATATAGTCTCAATGATCAATCAACTTGTAGCTGGTACATCAATAGAGGCATGAGATTGTTTTTGGATCGCGGAAGGCAGAAATGAACAGATAGAATGGACTCCAGCACATTGATGTGAGAGCATTAATCAAAAGTGGAGAAGGCAACGGAACCCTGGAGAACGAACGGATGGACCCTGTGAAGGCCATGGGTTAATCCAGAGTCCAGACCATAGTTGCCACTTTGGCGTAGTGTGGCCACTGGCTAGTCCACATCGTGGCAGGGAGAGGGGAGGTGATGGTCAAGTGTGGCATGTGGAATGTGATTATGTGAGGGATACGACGGAAGGTCAGAGCAGGAGTAGAGTGGGGCAAACGTTGAGTGGGAAGCATTAGAACAAGAGAGTGACACTGCTGGACGATTTTGTGTGCATTGCGTCCCCCCCATGCCCACATTCTTTGCCCAATTCTGCAGGGTGGGTCGATGGCTGTTTGTTGCATTTGCTGCTCACTGTAATGGGAGCATTCTCAGATTTTAAAGGTTGTTGGGAGCATACTTAGGTAGGTGGGCATAACATTACTGAGTCATAACCAGTAATAACCACTCAGACATCCCATAAAGGAAAAAAAGTGCATCATTCCCACAACCGCCCCCCATCAAGAAGGCAGCAAACTGGAGATTCCCTACTACAAACTAACTCAGCAAGCTTCCTACTGTCATGCCGACAAACCAAAATCTACTTATGTGCCAGTTTAGTACCCACTGGTGGGCTTCAGATGCAGCCAGCTCCTGACGCCTTCAGCCATTGAGCCAATGCTCATAGCTGAGAATGCACTAGGATGCGAGTCAGAAGACATCTGAGAATCCCTCCCACCATTCCAAGACGAAACAGAGTCATTCCTTGAGGACATCACTCCATTGCTTGCACTCTCCTCTTTCTCGATAATCTCCCACTCCTCCTTGTCGGGGCAGTGCTTCTCAGTGAGCGCAGTGAGGCGGTATGCCACGTCTGTCATGCTCGGCCTCAGCGTGCCGGGACACTTCATGCAGTCCAGAGCCAGGTCTGCAAAGCCCACAATGGCCTCCTCACTCACCGCATGCATCTTGGGGTCCTTGAGCTCGCTCAGCTCAAATGCCTCAACCCTCTTTCTTGCCTGGGGGGTAGCAGACAAAGAAGGATGAAAGGGAAAGGAGGTGTCACTGAGCATGATAAAGGGGCGAACGAAGTGAAGGACATCATGAAAGAGGAACTGTGATCACCGTGTGCGGGTAAATGAACAAGGTGGAAGACAGATTCGACATTGATGGCCGTACCCATTCTCTAATATGCGAGTGTTTTGTAACCTGAGGTGACTTTCCACTGAGCAACTCAAGAAGCACGATGCCAAAGCTGCAAACAGCCGCGAAATTGGACACAGGGGAATATGGTTAGAGATCGTGATACACGGACATGTTGATAAAGAGAAACGAAAAAAGAAAGACAATAAACTGTTAACATTTGCCCATTCTCATTGCGCAGTACAATAGAACAACCGTGCGAACCTGAAGACATCACTCTTGGCAGTGATGATGTGGGTGCGGTTGTAATCCGGATCCACATAGCCTGGAGTGCCGGCCACTCGAGTGGCATCAGCATCGCCATGAGTGAGGAGCTTGAGCAGCCCAAAGTAAGCCACCTTGGCTTGAAAGTCGGCAGTCACAAGGATGTTGGCCGGCTTGATGTCGCGGTGAACGATGGGTGTCTCAAACCCATGCAGGTATGCCAGCCCCTCTGCTGTTCCTTTGGCTAGGCGCAACCTCTGGCGCAGCGACAGTGGATCTGGCGGGAAGATAATGAAAGCCGAGCATAACGCATGTTCATATAAATAACAGTGCCTTATTGTGTCAGACAAAGAGCAATGAGCGAAGGCATATTAACCATTTTCAAGAGCAACTTAAGCTCACTCTTGGTGGAGTGGATATGGTACTCGAGGTCCCTGTTGCCCACAAACTCGTACACCAGGATCTGCTCCTGCTTGCCCGTCTCCACGTTTTGGTCCAGACAGAAGCCCAGCAGACGAACGAGATGGGAGTGGTGGAGAGAAGCCATTGCTCGCACCTGCAGGCAAAACCCCCCAAAATGCACCACTAAATCTGCTGGTTTGCTTTGCATTGAATGAAAACGCTGGATGGAAACACATGCATTCAAGAAAGAACATAACAGTGAGGTTGTAAACAGTGAGGCATGCCACACCTCTGTTTCAAAGTCGTTGGTCATGACTGTGGAGCGCTTGATAGCCCACAGCTGGCCCTGAGGCGAGTGGCCTTTGTAGACAATGCCAAAGCCACCCTTGCCCAGCACATTGTCGTCCGACCAGTTGTTGGTGGCCTTCATCATTTGATGTATTGAGAACTGCTCACACACATCCAGCCCCTCCCACTTCTCTGTGCACACACAAAGTCAGAGAGGCTGGGTCAGTGACCAAGTATGGGGGACAATTTGTGGTGCACGGATGGTGGCAGAGAAGGGAGCAAAGAAAGAGGCCGGGAAAGAGGTGCAGCAATGGGAGAGTTGGGGCCTCACTTTGTCCGCGGGGCCACAGCAGCCAAGCGACCAGAGCAGCCAGCAGGGTGAAGCCCGCAAAGCAGCCCACAGCAATGCCCACTATGGCGCCCGTGGACAGAGAGGACACTGCCAAGTACGGGAAAAGGGGTTGCAGTTAGGGTTGAGAATGGGGAGAAGGGTTGTTAGTAGGGCTTGCGGAGGGGGGTGGGATGTAGAGGGGCACGTGGAGTTTATGGGGTGACGGGATGTAGGGTGCAAGAGGGGGGGGAGGGGGGGTGGGGTGAGAGGCAAATGGTGAGGGTGACCAAGGGAGAAAAGGATAGCCTTGGAGTGAGATGAATGTCAGCACACCACCATCTACATGGTTGCAAGTAGGGCTCACCGGTGGTGGTGGTGGAGTTGACAATGGCACAGGTAGAGCCGTTGCCCAAGTCGATAGTGGAGTAGCCGGCATCACAGAGGCAGGTGAAGTTGGAGGTGGAGCCGGGTGCAGGCGGCACACACTCCCCATGGCCGTCACACGGGCCGTTGTCCGTGATGCTGCAGAACGCCTGGCAGGCTGCCGTGCTGCGCTGGGTGGCGTTTGATGAGCAATCGGCGTCGGCGCTAAGCGTCAGGCAGTTGCCCGAAAGACTCACCCTCGCCTCCTTGCCTGCCCCCGCCACCGAATAATCTCGGAAACCAGTAGCTGCAAGATTATTGCACTTGCCAGCAAACACATCAAAGGTGTCCCCCATGTCGAGGTTGTTGGGCTCAGTGATCTCCATAGGGCAGACTTGGCAGCCGGCAGCAAAGAGCACGGCATCACCGAAGAAGAAGTTGTGACCCAAGTTGATGAGGGCAGTCCCATCCGCCACCATGTTCTTGAAGTTGCGGTTGATGCGCCCGTACAGGCTGTTGTTGCTCACATCGCTGTGGGGAACACGGGGGTCGGACCACAGGACAAACATTGGCTCTAAGTATTCGAGCGTAATCCCACTGCCACATACCATATCACAGTGAACGCATGCCTCTTGCCACTCTTTGTAATGGTGACCACATTGAGGGTGCAAGCTCCTCAGCTTCAAGAAGCTGGGTTGACTCACATTTGGTTGACACACTTGTCAAAGAGGCAGTCTGGCAGGGGTCCGTAGAGGTAGTTGTTGCTCATCATGCTGCCAGCAGCACAACACATCATATCGCAGCATCAGCCACTTCTATTTCGAATGCCATAAGCAAGTGTAGTTTCCTTACAATCCAACTCAGGAGTGTAGTATGCACGCAAACTTCATTCTCAATCGATGATAGACTGCAATAGTCTCTGCTAGAAGTGGTTTAAAACCCCGATTGGACATAGTCTTTGAAAATTTGCCTCCAGATCTCTCATTCATGTATGGCATACATTCGTAAACGCCACAACCACTTACATGCGCCACAGCGCGGGCAGCGAGCACAGGCTAGTTGGCAGAGGGCCCTCGATGTTGTTGTTGTCCAGCCAGCTGCACGGGCACAGAGGTGCCAAAGGTGGCACAATCAACAAGGTGAATATAGGCTGGCACTGGGGACGCGTACGTATTTTTGTTCCTCTCTTCCTTATCTTCAAGGGAGACAATGAACAAAATTTGCTTCATTTTCATGTGCGGCCTACCTGTTCAGCAACGACAAGCGTAATGAGGAAGGTAGATAGCACCCTCACATCTGTTCGAGCTTCTCCAGTCGACTGATGGCATCTGGCAGACTGCCACTCAGCTTGTTGTTGGCCATGTAGCTGGAGGGTAATCACAGGGAGACGAGACATTTCAAACTAGAGGTTGGGCAAGAGCACTGAGGGTTGATGCAGGAAAGTGCCATGGGGCAGAGCTGGGAACAATGAAAGGGCACCTGATAAGGGGATGCAAACACTGAATGAGGACTTGAGGCTCACAGGTATTTCAGTTTTTTCATGCTGAAAATTGCAGCAGGGATAGTTCCTGTCAGCTGGTTGTTGTTGAGGGTGCTGCAGGGGCATGGTAAGAGAATTGCAGATTCAGCTGCTGCCTCTAGCACATGGGCACTGCGAGCGCATGTGCTTCCACTGGTAAGCAGATGTACATCTGTTGACATTCCAGCGCAAAAAATCTGGTAAAGGGTTCAAAGATGACAGTCCAACACTACAAGCTAATTTGATTGGGAGTTGAGAAGGTCTTGACAGGCATGTTTCGACCCAGGACGGCTCACATTGCTTCGAGGGTGGTGAGAGTGGAGATGGAGTCGGGAATAGACCCTGTGAAGTTGTTGTTGCTGAGATCTCTGAGCCGCAACACAAGCACGGAAGAAGGTGGCCCGAAAAGAAAACACATGCGCATTGTTGACTTGTCCCACCCAACTCGCCTCTACTGCAGCCAGACCGGCTTGGCTTGACTCAGCCAGTGCCCCGTTCTCTTTAACTACTCCAAAATCAGCACAAGAAAGTCTCAGGATGGGCTGGGCTGATGGTCAACTCAGCTCGACCCAAGGTTCACTCAGCTCGAGTTGAGACTGAAATCGCCCCATCCTCATGTAAATTTGGGTACAAGATCGGAAAACTGGAAGGCGTGGGGAGGCTTACATCTGTGCACAGCTGACGTTCCAGCGTGAGAAGTCTGCTAAAAGGCCCGTGAATCCGTTTCCTGCCAAGTTACAGCACAGTGCACAAGCAGAGATTGAAAGTTCAAGGAGCATGAGTACATCATCAACAGAAACGTGTCGCCCTGTCACACAAACTACTACCAGTGCATCAACTCTTGAGCGAATGCGCAAGGTGCACTGCTTACAGTGTAGAAAGAGAAGTCGAGGGATTGAGTGTGTATGGAAGGCCCCCTGAAAGGAAGTTGTTGGCTACGTTCCTGTGTTGGGAGGAAGTGGAAATGCAGGGAAGGAGCGGTCTCATTCAGGTGCAGGGAATGGGTTGGGAGGGATGAGCAAAGGGCGAACACGAACATGTTCGTGTTCGCCCTTCACGAACACTGCCTTTTGCCGAACCGAACACTGTTCGGTTCGCCGAACGACTTCCCCAAAAAAGGGTGTTCGCCGTGCGCCTGTGAAGGCGTGTTCGGGCGAACCTCGAACACGTTCGTGTTTGACACGGGGCGTTCTGCACCAGCGCCACGAACATGAACGTGTTCGGGCGAACATCGAACAGTGTGCGGCGAACAATTTAAGCTAAAAAACATAACCTGTTCGGTTCGCCTCGAACAGGTGTTCGTCTCTTTGCTCATCCCTAGTTGGGAGTTAAAGATTGTGTGGATGCAGTGCATTTCTAGAAGCAAGCAGTGGGCGGAGCATTATCCTTATCTGGAACGGAGCTGGCACAGTAACATGTGACGGGGCCGAGTTGTGCTCAATACACATGTATTCATAATCAGATGAAGATCCACATATTAGGAAGGGGTCACTGCGGCAAGGGGCTGATAGAACAAAAGGACTGGGAAACAGGTGGATGGGAGGGGAGCCATGGAGCTACTTACAGTGTGTCCAGCATAGAGAGCTGAAACAGGCCGGATGGGATAGTTCCACGAAAGTTGTTGTCGTTAAGTTTACTGGACAATATTGTCAAGGGCATCAAAATGTTTAGACACGTCTCAGAAGCAAATGCCTACAGCATGGCCGAATTGCTAAAGGCTCCTCCGCAACACCCGCTCTGTTTGGCAGTCCTTCAAGGGTATTTCCCACCCCTTGAAGATCCCAACTGGTGCACCCCCAACCGCTCATGCTTGTGCTGGCTAAGGCAGTGGCACCACTCACATGCCCTGCAGGTTGACAAGTTTGGACAGATCGCTGGGGATTGTTCCAGTGAAGCTGTTGTTGTTTAATTCCCTGCCATAGCCATTCAAAATACCACGTTAGCCGTTAGCCGTTTCAAGGGCACTACCAGAAGAAACATGCTTACAAAATTGACGAAGATAGCAGCAATTGTTCCATCCGGGCAACCTGCCTTTGTTCAAGGCCACAAGTAAGGGCCTTACAGGTATTTAAGGTTCTCAAGCTGTAGAATACAACTGGGGAAGGTTCCAGTGAAGTGGTTGTCATTCACAAACCTGAAGCAGGACAGAGTTACATCTGGTAGGAGATAATGAGCACCCATGCATGCAGAAGAGAATATGCAAATGCATACTTCCATGCGCTCACATACAAGCGAACGCGCACGTTCCTAGGTGGGGCTGGCCTAGCCTGGCCCGACTCAAGGCCAGTAAACACGAAGTTAGAAGAGGTGGTCATCAACATAGTAGGTATGAACGAGCATGTGCACGCGACTATGCAGAGGAGTTCTCAAGGCACTCTGCCCACTCCTCCCCCACTTTTTCAACTCAGGCAACTGGGGCTCAAGATTTTATTGAAAAGGCTGTCATCAAATATCTTATTGCGGCTCAATACCTTATTGAAAAGGTTGCCATCAAGGTCTTATTGCCATTTGTTTATCTCAGGCAACAGGGGCCGCGAAGTGGCCCGGACTGGCGTGTCTCGACCACAGAATATGGGGGGCTACACCTGGGACCACCTCTGGCCCAATGGCCAACAGTGGGAAAAAGTCCACTTGGCCCATGCTCATGTGACATGTCTACTTTGAACCAACAAAAAGAGATAAAGCGACCAGTTAATCCAAGAGGGGCTCAATTTATAGTGGGGCAGTTGCAACCCTAGCTGTTGCTCTCTCCCACAGAGGTAGGTGCGAGGAAAGGGGTTGTGACATTGATAGAGTGAGAGATGAATAGGATGTATGTACTCACAGGGATTGAAGGCCCTTGATTGCTGTTAGGGACGCTGGAAACACACCAGAGAAGTTGTTGGCGTAGAGGAATCTGCAAATCCATTGAGAAGTCAAGAAAGTGGTTCGGATATTGCAGACAGAAAAGGTTACAGAAACGCGTGTCAGAACAATGTATGGGCAAATGGCAGGAAGATGAGGAAGGGGAATGGGGGGGAGAGAACACTCACATGTCTGTCAGCCACGTCATCTGAGCCACCACGTCAAGGCCTGAGCTGAGATGGTTGAGTTCAATGTTTCTGACAAGTTGTGCAGACATAGACACACATGTTAGAGGAGATGAGGAGAAGGCTGGGAACGCAGTAACCTGGTAAGAAAAGGCACAGAACAACAAATAGACATGGCCAACGAAGCAGGTCATTTGGCTCTTTTCGTTTGCAGCACTTGTTGCGGTCGAAAAAACTTTGCTGAGTCGAGCCAAGTTTTCCAAGCGGGGTAGAAAACAAACCGCTGAAAAGCTCGCTCGGCCGAGTTTTTAATTTTAAAGCTTGTCCAAGTGGCACCTTATGAGTTGGGCGGGCACAGGCCCAAAACATCTTGGCCGATTTTTACTCGGCTCGCCTCGCTACCCGGCCGATACATAGTAAAAACAAGGCGAGTTAAACTGGTCTCGTCACTTTGACCTGGCCAGTAGCTCGTGATTCTATGTAGCAAGTGCTGTGCTTCAGTCACTCCCTTAGCTAGTAATAGCTTCAAGCAATGGGTACAGAACGAACTGAAGGGACAGACCACAGTGTGGGGAGAGACGTACAGAGAACTCATGCCAGTAAGCCGGGTGAATGTCTTAGGGATGCCTCCTGTGAACTGATTGTCGGTTAATTGACTGCAGCCAGGGCAGCCCAAGAGGAAACATTGAACAGGGCGGTGGAGTGGGAATGGACCGGCAAGAAGTGGGGTTATGCAGAAAGGGGAGACCAAGAGGGCAATAGGACTGGAGGTTTAAAGACGAGTGCGTAAGTAATGGGCACACATAGTGGGTCTCACAGCTGAATGAGGCTGGGTTTTGCCAGGCGTGGTGGGATGGGTCCACTGAAAGAATTGTATGCAAGCAATCTGGATAGGCAGGCAGGACAGGTGAGGCAACGACTCATTCCAGCATTCATTGCGAGAGGTCACATGCACAGAAAGGTGTCATTGCGTGTATAAGGAAGACCGTTGGAGCAAGTTGTGTGGGGGGAGTTGGCGGGG